TACATGTAAAGTCGCAGTGTAAATAAGCACTTACTAAAAATGCATTCTTCTCCATAAGATACAACCTGACAAATGATTTTATACCAAGGACATAATAAGAAATCTTACAAAAATCATCCAAAGAGCTTTCATAAACCACCTCACTTTACCATCCTTTCTCAAAGATGGTTTGCATCATTCTCTACAAAAACCATTAAAAAAAAAACCTTTTGACCTATGTGATTTCATGTTTACCACATGTAGCACACTAGCATTATATAAACATGGCCACATTACTTACCTTAAAAGACACCTCCCTTCTACTTTCAAGATCCGCTTTATTCCCCACAAGAGCTACAAAGGCACCTGGCCTGGCCCGTTGAGCGAACTCATCAACCAACTCCTTTGCTTTCTCAAATGAACGTCTCTGTGTTATGTCATACACAACAAGAGCCCTTGCATTCTCGAAGAAAAAGTCCGAAACAGAAATATCCCCCATTACAAGTGTTACTATTATGTTATGATCCAGACGTACTCTTTTAAGAAGGATGTTCGCTGAAAGGACAAATGAACATGGCTTAGGACTTAGATCGCTGAACTTTCTAAAAAATCATTGGATCATTTTTATGCTCATTGTTAAACGTTTTCTTACCTTCGCGAAAAGCTTCGGTGTCATGAGAATTGCTATTAACATATCTGTTCAGCAAGTGCGATTTGCCCACATAGGGCCCTCCTGTTTCATAACAGAGGTCAAAAAAAAAAAAAGAACTTGAGATTATTTTTTGAGATATGATGAGGAGTGCAAAGGTCAGCAAAAAAATCACATACTTGAACTTGAAAAGCTTACAACTGTAGAAAGAAGACATCAATCAACTATTGGCCTCTAATAGTTATTTTCTGTGACACAACCATGAAAGTACCTTACATTTATATTTTGAGGAAACAAAAACTAAAAAATTAAGTGATAATGATAAATTGACTATTAATTAAATTACTTTTGTTTGCACTCACCTGTAACTGCCAAAAGATATGCCAGTTCTATATTTCCTTTACCAATCATGTCAATTTCTATCTGTGAACATCAAAATGATACAAAGCATTTCATAATTAAATGTGTGACATTGTGTGTTGTTCAGTATACCTTAAGGAATCCTCCTTCTCCCTGGGCAAGTAAGCATTTACTTGTTAACTACTCA